TTTTTTTTCCTTCCATTCCCAGGGTGGATTTTTCAAGAGTAAATACAAACAGATGATAAGTGAAAATCCACAAGAGGTACCAGTTCCAGAGATGGATGCAGGAGCAACCCTAACAGAATAATAAAAATCACACTGGTAGTTGCATCTATATGAAAGCTATAGACCCTCCTAATATTTTTAGGAGTAAACATGGTGTGTAGAAATGTTGATGCTAGAACATTTGATTCATGAAAGAAAAACCAGCTGGCTGTGTCTAAAATCACAAATCAATTTTTTGACCATTCAAACTTTACACTTGGCCCAACGCAGTCAGACAAATACTATTCACCTGGCGACCGCCAATCCATCAGGTTACCAGATGGACAATCGTGACTTGTCACTCCAGAGCACACATCTCCATTGCTTTAGAATTCAGTGGTGGTGTGCCGTATACCATTGGATCTGATGCTTTGCATTGCACTTGGCAATGTAAGTCTAAACAGAAAAATGCAACTGCCAATCCACTGCTTAAATCCCAGACATGCACATGAAGGCAAAGCATTACAAGCAGACAAAAAGTCTGTATACTTAAATAAATCACACAAAACTAAATATAGTGAACTACTTGAGCAGATGTTCTTTGAAGCATTATGGTAGAAACTTTGTCTTTGTAAAGTGACTTTTTTATCATTTGAAGACTCTTAACTGCTTCTCTACAATGAGACCCTTTTTTGTGTTTAAATTTCTGCAAACATATTTTTTAAAGAATTTGTTGTATGGTGAAAAGAAGCTTCTTTCTTTACCATTATGTACTGCAACGTATGGAATTCAATATATACTTATTATACTTATATACTTATATACTTACAATATATACTTGCCTAAAATAACAAAGAAAAAAATTGTGAAATGTGACTTGCTTTATTAAGGAATAAATAACAGCACATGTAATTATTCAGCTTTGTGTTGCGAATCTGTATATTCACATTATAGTCTTATTGCTTTAAATTCCCTATAAAAATGCTGATATGAAGTTTTTCCTCGGTTTGACCTGAGTATCAGCAGCTCTTTTAATATATATAAATAGAAGTAAACCTGTATTTACTTGGTAACATACTAATGCCAGAATTTGTAGTATCACACACTAGCATAAATTGTGATTTGTTGTTTGATTTGCAACAGTGTAGCATTTTGCTGTTTACAGTTTTCATTTTTTTTTAAAATGTTATGTCAGAATTTTTGATGTTGTGTTCGATTTTTATCACCATTTTTCATGGGAATATTTCAGAATATAATTATTGTTGCGTTCATCCGACAGAAGACAGAGATGATCAGTATTCCGTTGACTGGCTGTTTACTATGACCAGTAACACAGGCTACCGTGGGCTGTATTCAACGCCAATACAACCGGGAAAACGCTCTCTCCAGAATCAAAACAAAACCCCCACTCTCTCTCTTCCCCAACTCACGCTCCTTTCCCTGCACACACCAACAACAATACTCTTTAACACCCACCCACCACACATTTTCAGCCAACACCACCCATACTCTCTACAGACTCTCTGTCATAGGTAGCTGATCTGATTGTCAGGCCCAACGGCCTCTACACTTTTACACATTCAGTGACACTCAGTACATCACATTGCTGCCGGTGTGGAGCAACTATGCCATAAGTGAGTGGCAATTCTGAACACAAAACACTCATAACACAACAGTCAAACTAACTTGTCCTTTACAATATGTTCCGGCGCATTTAACAAGAGAAACATAAGATCTTTACAA